TAAAAATTTCAAATGTATTTATTATATTTTTTTAGTTGTATATAAATTTTTTTTGGCAAATTTAGATTTTTTAGATAATTCTTATATTGAAAAGGAACATTTTGGTCAAATTTAAAATTTAAAAGTCAAAGTAAATGATTAACTAATAATTAGATGGATGGAAATATGATATCAAATATATAAGGGATATTTATGTAATATATATATTAATTTTAAGTGAGATTTATATGAGTTTTCAAATAAAGAGAAAGTTTGTATAACTAATACATAATAGAATCGTGGTCAGTATATTTTACTTATAAAGTATTATTATAAACATAATATTTACCGTCTTAACATAATTTGATTTAGTAGATCACTATTTTACTGATCATAGATTCCTCCATTGAGTCCTTCGATTATGATTGGTATAGTGGAAGTCGAGGGAGAATGAATGAAATGGAAATAAGAGGAGGAACAACTCATTACCCTATCTGGTGTGTAGGAGCAATCATTTAAATGGAATGGCACTTACCTAATTTGAGATATTGATTTTATTTATAAATCACTTTCAATATATTTTATCAATATTAAAAAAACTTTAAAATTAATTAACTCTATCTTAAAATTTAATAAGTTATTAACTTTGCCCTTATAAATATACATATTTCAATAATATATTTTCTCTCTCCAAAATTCAATAGAGGGTAAAAGGAAAAATTTGTGATGAAAATTTAATAATGTGTCTCATAAATAGGATAAAAAAATTCTTCTTTCTCTGCCTTATAAATAGAACGAGAGGGAATAATCCTATTCCATCAATGGACCATGGGAATAGATCTATTCCTTGGGAATGAATTTTTAAATGGCCAAATTATCCCTAATTAAAATTTATATTTACAACACCGCCCTTTCATCTCCTTCATTCTATCACCAACTGATTACTCCACTTTCCCCATCGTTGTTCCTCCTCCGCTCCTCCTCCGCTTCACCCTTTCATCTGTTTTCCTGCGCGCGAGCTGAGGCGGAGAGAAGCGAGTCGCCGGTGCAAAATATCTAAATTTTTAAGGTAAGAGTTTTTAATAGGATATTTAGGGTGTGATTTTAAGCTTTTCAAGACTAAGTAAGTGTTCTAAAAATTTTTCTTAGTCATCCTTCTTCTTTAGTTTCTGAGTTTGTAGTGGTAGAAAATTTAAGATCTGGAAGAGGGATGAATTTATGTTGAATAAATATGATTTTTGAGGTTGTCAGTAGTATAATAAATGTTCTAGAGTATAAATTTATTGATGATCTTTGAATCTGTGGCTTATGGATCAAATTCTAAACTAGATCTGAAAATATATGTTGATTTATTGAGGTTTAGATGATTATTTGGGACGAGAAATGAATTATTATGGTTATAGGATTATGATTCTAAGCTAGAGACTCAATTTTTAATTTTTGAGTATTTTAGGTACGAATTTATGAAATAAAAAGAAAATTTTGATAATAAAAATTAGTTTAGAAGTTGATTTTTAGATTATTAATGTTTATTGATAATTAAAAGAGGATTTAAAAATTTTACTTAATAGTATTAACTATAGATTTGTATTAAGATTGAGATTAGGAATTATGTTATATTTTTAATTCTATTATTAGAATTATTTTATTAGTTTCAAAATTGAAACTAATATTTATAAATAATATGTTATTTGTAGATTGTATTACTGGTGAAGATTGTGGTGAGAGAGAAATTTTAAGGAATAATTTATTAAAAAAGCCACAAGGTAACCATGCTTTTAATTTTGATTAGTGTTACTTCTTGTTAATTGGGTGATTATTGAGAAAATTATGAATTTTGTAATATTATATAATTGTGCAATATTATTATGAATTTGTTTAATTATTGTGGGAGGTGTTGGGAGACTTGCTATTATTGTTGTATTTATGTGCCACGTGGTACGCCCCTATTGGAGCTCAATAGGTGGCTTGTAAGGGCTCGGGCTAATCTACCTTTGGCCGGGTAATTTAGCACCGAGTGAGGGCTACAGCTCGAGGTTAATGGAGGAATATAAGGATGGTTGTTTGTGTGTATTGTAATATTTCTTATATTTATTGGAATTATGTTATTTTTAATTTTCACTTAATAAGTACACACTTAACTGTTTGTATACACTATCATAAATTAGCTTTGGTTACTGGACTTTTGAGTCTCATTATGTGGTTAACAATTTTCAGGAGAAGAGCCACGAGTGACACGTGGAGGAGTCCCAGAGGCTTAGTGGTATAGATCCACTGTCTCTTTGGGTATTTAATTTATGATTTATAATGTGTTATATTGCCAATATTAGGGCTTTTTGTTTATTGTCAATTATATGAATATATAAATGTAATCATGCCTTTCAAACTATTTCTATTTTTGGTACAATTTGGATGACTGTAATTTTAATATTTGGTTTACTTTGGATTGGTTAAAATGACATGATTATAAGGCCAAATAACTGGCTTGTGTTGAAAATTGACTAAATTGCTTATTTTACTTGTTGGGAGTATAAGGATGGACAAATGTGATTTAGTTTACTTGTTGGGAGTATAAGGATGGACAAATGTGATTTAGCCTAATGGCATGTGAGAGGTAAAAATTTATCTGAAATGTTATAGTGTGTGAGTTAAAGCCAATTATAAAATATTTTATATCGAAATTATTGATATAAAAATGTGTTGGGTGGCTGTAACCCAACTATATTGAATTAATTAATTAAAAAAAAAATTTTGATGTGTTACAATAGTTTCGTAAAAGCAAAAATTGAAATCATAAAACAAAAAATGAGAAATATTAATTATGCGTGCACAATATAATTATAAAATAGAATTCCCCAATAAGTGATTATCAATTATGCAACTATAATCGTGCACCAAGAGGGCTCAAATATCATAAAGATTCAGCATATACAAAAGTCCATATAAAATAATGCATTAAATATTTCTATACCTATAGAGTAAAACAAATAGCTAGTATATTAAAAAGAGTGTTATTAGCCTATCCTCAAAACCAACCATCAAAAAATACATTAATAATGTCACACCTATGGGGTATATCCATTATCAATACTACAAGATCCTAAACATCATCAATAATTCACAAAGTCACAGATTTTATGACCTTAGAGCAAAACAAAATAATTTCAAAAAAGTTCTTGGGGTCTTTTGGGAATTAAAAAATAAATTTGGGACTTAAGTGAAATTTTAAAAGGTATCCAAGGGTAAATAGGTAATTTTGGAAGAGATTTGGGTTAAAATTGTAATTCTGGAAGTTAAAGGATGAAAATATAATTTCAAGAAATTTACTGGGGTCACGAAAGAAATTCTAGAATTATGGGCCGAAGGAGGTAATTCTATCCTGGGATCAAAAGTGTAACTAATTTTTTTTTAAATCAGGCCCAGATGAATACAAATGGAACTGGATCCTTAGGACCTGATTTCTGACCCGTTTCATGCCTCCAACTTTTTTTTTTGCAATTTAAGCCCAGAGGAAATCTGGATCCATGAAATCAAATCCGTAGGATCCAATTTTTGATCCAATCCTTCCTTCTTCTAGTGTTGCGAGCTGAACCACTGCCTCCCCTTGTTTTTTTTTCAAAAAAAGATCTAGGTTCATACGAAAATGGGCCTAGAACCCATGAAACCAGATCCCTAGGATCTGGTTCTTGACCTTGTCCCTGGGTCTTCTCCAGCCGTGCAGGAGACGAGAGAAGAAGGGGGACTACGCCGCTATGACAACACTGTGGGCAGTAGTTGCTAAACCAGAAAACAACTAGCGTGATCCCGTGACTGTGTAGGGCCGTGAACTAGGCAATAGCCGACGTGAAATAGTAACAAGAAGGTGCAGCGACCGCCGTGAACTTGAAGTAGAACTCACTTCCGTCATGACGCCGATGACCATACAACAAAAGACCACGTCGCCAAGACCTTCTTCGGCCACTCTAGCAAGCAGAACCTCTGGCAAGAACAAAATGGGAGGAGAGGGGAAAAACAAAAAAAAAAGGAAGATGCACACGATTACATGGCTTAAATAATTTCAAAATTCAAATATAGCTTTATTGAGCAAGAATTTCAATCAAATTCATTTACTTTTAATAATATCAATGTGTGAAAATTATCATCTTTACTTTTATCAACACACATAGGATAATAAATTGAAATATATAAATTAATGTTCGTAAACCAGGCTCTAATGCCAAGTGTTATATTTAGCATCTCAATTCATATATAATTGAATATGATAAAATAATGTAATTTTGTACGTACCTGAAGAATTCATTGATCGCTTAAGATAGCTCGATTACCTTGAGTATAGACAGACGTACAACCCACTGGTCCCCAAAGTCTTCAGAGAGTGCAGATGAAAATCAGTCGTGTGTTTATAGTTATCGACTGATCGACTTATAAGGATCAGATCAATAACCGCTTTATTAATTAATTAAATAATTATTTTTTATTATTTCTGACTCAGTCAGTTAAGAGATAGGAAATAAATGACGGCTATTGGGTTGTGGGTTGGGCCTCTGTTCATTAGATTCACTTGTGTGGTCCACCTATCACGATCTACACAAGATCATAAAGATCAATCTACCTACTTAAACTTATTAATTAATGTTAATTCAATAAATAAATATTCCAACACTTTCTTCGTCATTCCTCCTCCGTTGATGTTCACAGTATCATTCAAGCCTCTTTCTTTCTTTGTTGCAAATTAACTTAGGGCCTTGTTCAAGTTGGGGTATTTTTTGGTGGTTTTCTCTCTCTTGCTTTAGCATCAATTTTGTGCAAAATGGTTGAAATTGTTCTTGGCTCATGAACAATTTTTTTTTCCCAGGCCGGAGGTAAAAATAATATTTTTTCATTATTATAAATACCAAATAAAAGTTATATTAACATTCTATCAATGTGCCGAATATATTTTTAAATTTTATTCTTATTTAGTCCTATTTTCACTTTCACCCCTATTCTCGTTCTATTAAAAATGACTCCACCGTATCAAACGAGCCGTTAATTCTCCAAGTCACTCGAAGTTTAAACGAACTGTTTTTGTAGCTTCAATCACAAATACCTTCGCCATCTCCTCACTGCTTCAACTCTCTTTCTCTCTCTGAATTTTCATGGCGGACAGCACGACGACCACCGCCAAGGCCTTTGACGTGGAGAAAACGACCTCCGTGTACGCCGTCGCCGACGAAGATGAGGTCTCTCCCATTGAGGAGGTCCGATTGACAGTGACCAACACCGACGACCCGAATCTGCCCGTGTGGACCTTCCGAATGTGGTTCCTCGGCCTCCTATCCTGCTCTCTCCTCTCCTTCCTCAACCAATTCTTCGCCTACCGGACTGAACCGCTCATAATCACGCAGATCACCGTGCAGGTCGCCACACTTCCGATCGGACACTTCATGGCCGCCGTGCTTCCCGCCACCAAGTTCCGGATCCCCGGACTCGGGTCCAAGACGTTCTCGCTGAACCCGGGCCCGTTTAACATGAAGGAGCACGTGCTCATCACCATATTCGCAAATGCGGGAAGCGCCTTCGGATCCGGGTCGCCTTACGCCGTCGGTATCGTTACCATCATCAAAGCCTTCTACGGCCGAAGCATCTCCTTCTTGGCTGCCTGGCTTCTCATCCTCACCACTCAGGTAACTACCATTATTATTTTTTTAGATTTTTTTTTTTTTGTCTTTTATAAACGATGCAAGTGGATGATTTCTAGCTAGTGGCTAGTGCTTTTCGATTTTAGGTTCATTTTAAAAATGAGCGTATTTCTTTTTCTTTTTTAAATACAAACACGTACCTGATAAAATCGTACATAAATAAAACTAAAAATAAGTTTGGTCATTAACAAAACAAGTCTTTACACCTGAGAGTGAATAATCGTAGATAATAGCATCAAACTTATCTTGATTAACATGATAAGCTAACCAATGAATGCAGGTGTTAATTCCAAAAGAAGATTCCAGAGTTACTGTAAAAAATACAATAAAGTCTTAAAAAATACACAAAAATTTACCGAAAACTCAAGTTTATTACACGAAAGTAAGTTTTCATACATAATTATTAAAATACTCCTAACTAATAAGTGTGAAATGAACTCTATTTTCTAGTGGAAAAGAAAGCGTCAATGTGTAAGTAGAATTTTGGTGTCTAATGAAGTTTTCTAAGAAAATTCTAGGTATGCCGACGAGCGTTTGGAGATATAATAGACATGTTTAGAACGTTTGTCATACTGTAAAAGTAAACTGAAATACCAAAATTGAAAAAAAAAAATCAAAATTTTGGGCTCCCAATTTCAAAGACTTTTTTAAAATGTTATAATTGTATTAGATATTTTCGATTATTAATATTTAACACGATTGCTCGAGCCTCGAAGACATCCTATGCACCGAATATTGGTGTACACTGCTTATTCGGTGGACAATATAATATACATTTTATTTTAAATAATAAAAGATAATCTTATTAGAAAGTGTGTGATTATCCAGATAGATACTAGTACCTAATTACCTGTCATCATTTCTATCAGTTTTATTTACTTATTAATTTTTTAAATGAAATGTGCAGATGAAGCCATCAATTAGATCTAGAACGACACTAATCCTTTGAAATCTGAAAAAAATTTAAGGTTAGGCTACTATTTTAAAGTTTAAAATGAAATTTGAGAACTATTTTAAGTCTAAAATAAAAGGGTTGACCTTTTAAGCTCTTTTATATTTTTTAAAATTTAATGTTTAAAAAATAAAATATTAAATATTATATTCATTCTAAAACCCTAGCCTTTTTTTAATAAAGACAAAAGAAAAATATATGAAAAGCTTAATATCTTTTTCACTAATAAAGCTTATAAGAAGAAGGATGAAATTATATTGATATTGATGATAATAAAAATTATCAAGATATAGCTAATGGTGCTAGCAAAGTATGATTGTTATGGTATTAATTTTATAATATTGTTATTTTTTATTAAACTTAAATTTATTGTTGTGTGTATTGATTTAAATTTTTTTTTCTAGACTTAATATTATATGTAATAACCTTTTTGAAATTTTAAATATATATATATATATTTTTAAATAAAGAAATAAAAAAATATTGGATCAACCTTTTAACCTTAAGGTCTAGGACCAGAGTGATCAAAATGAATTCTTAAAATGTAATTGAGTTTAAAGGAGCATCCTATTTAATCCCTAACTCTTTAAATACTAGTGCTAATTGACAACTTTACATGTAACATTATTTATAAAATATATTTAAAAAATAAATAAAAAATGACACACTTCCTTCTTTTTTTATTTTTTTCCCTAAAAAAACATAAGGTAAATTATCTAGCCTAGATATTAGTGGTGGTAGCGTGTGTAAATAATGCATGGTAACGAAAATTGGAATAGTCATTGAACCATTAGATCGGTCATGAACATAACTTTGATACACAAATCCAATTGTTTAATGGTTTAGCCTGCAAGACTGATCTTTTTTTTTTTTTTTTTGTTTGGGTGTTGGTTCAATTTTTAATTTTAATACTATGGTGCAATGTATGTAGGTGTTGGGATACGGATGGGCTGGGCTGATCAGGAAATACGTAGTCGAACCAGCCCACATGTGGTGGCCCAGTACCCTCGTTCAGGTCTCTCTTTTTAGGTATGATTTTTCTTTTTGGTTCTTTTTCATTTCTCTCTCTCTTAATCTAAATGGCTAGCTCATAAAAGTCTTCTCATATTTGTTAGGAAAAATGTCTTCTCATATTTGGACATCGTAATTTACGCCCTTCGCTTGTAATAGAAGATGAAGAAAAGAAGAGAGAGATTGAGCACAGACAATACATTTTTTTCAAAAAGAAAAAGAAAAAAAATCTCACACCTCACTTATAAAAGAAACTCTTAACAATTGTGTGGTTGTGCGTGTTGTTAAATACTCGGTGAAGTTATTTTGTAAACTTTCTTCATAGAAATTTCAATATTTTTTTTTAATAATATCAACTCATTCAACCCTCACATTATTATTTGAACTGTTATCATTTACTACAAAATACTCTCTTCGATTTTTAGTGCAAGCCAAATTTTATAAAAAAATTAATCCTTAATATAAGATAAAATTAGAGTAATCATTTTTGAAATTTACCCTTTGTTTATTTATTATGATTTCAATTTCAAGACAACAATTTATTATAATTAAAAATTAAAAATTAAAAAAATTACATATTTTTAAAATAATTTTAAATGTTTAACTATCATTTTTTAATAAATGCAAATTTAATTAAATTTGTCTTATATTAAACAATGAATGGAGTGTGTGTATAATAAATATTAAAATAATTATTTTTCTAATTTTATCCCTTATTTATTTATTATAATTTCAATTTCTAGACAGCAATTTATTATAATTAAAAATAAAAATTAAAAATATATATTTTAAAAATAATTTTAAAAGTGTAACTATCATTTTTTAATATGTGTGAATTTAATTAAATTTGTCTTATATTAAAGAATGAATGGAGTAGATATATATATATATATAAAATAAATATAGAAGGGAGAGAAAGTTTACAGAAAGTTATAAAGTAGTGGCAATAGAGATGAATCTAGGGATCTACTGTATAAAATAATTTTAGAACCTATTGAGGTGAAATCTAAAGATCAAGGATGATGGGGATGCAAAGAAAACTAAAACTAAATGAGTGGAAGTAATAATGATTGAGTTATAGGTCAACTTTCAATAAAAAAATTTAAAAAGACAATTTTAAAAAATAAAATATAAATAAAATAAGGGAAGATGAAGAAAGGAGGAACGAGGAGATTCACTTGGGCTGTGGTTTCTATTATATTATTTCACTGTCTCTTCCGGGGTCAGCGAGAAAAGGGCAATGCAGTTTTTCTTTCCCTTGCCTACAAATTAAATTAATCATAATGCAAAAAAATGTTTTAAAAATACTTTTATGATTTAACATTTTTATTCCATCTTCATCTTTAATTGTTTATGATTTAATAGTAATTTTTAAAAAAAATGCTTTATTCATAAAAGGACTTAAAATAATAAAAAAATAAAAATACAAGGATTAAAAATATTAAAAAAAATAAAGAACTAATAACAAATGTGAGTAGAGTATAAGAACTTAAAGTTATATTTTTTAAAGTATTTCATTCATATTTATACATTTAATATTTTCATGCAGAGAAATTCTACTTTTTTTTGGCCAGGCAGAGAAATTCTACTTCATTCTATATAAAGTATAATTAATTAAGGTGAAAACTTAAAACCTGAATTTAATATTAAAGTAATTATTTAAAAGAAATTTTTTTCGCAGAATCTGTTTTTAAGTGGATTTTCAGAATTTAATATTTTATGCTCAGACACTATTTTGGAATATATGTGTCTATAAATATATATATATATATATATATATAGAGAGAGAGAGAGAGAAGAGATCTTGCGATGGGAATCAATGGTCCAGCTCTGGACGTTTGGAGGGGATTGGGTTATTTGTCCTTTTTCTTAAAACTTAATTTCAATTTAGTCTAAGTGGGACCAGGGACTGAATTAGTGTTTCAGAATTTTCGGGGGTTAATTGTTAATAAGTTTGGTCAAAAAGGTTATAATGAAAATTTTCCAGTAAGTTACGATGCCTTAATCATCATGAGTGGGTGATTTTTTTGTTTTTAGGAAAAAAACCAATGTTATGAATCACCGAAAAAAAAATTGCAATCAATCAATAGCCAAAGCAAAAAAATCACTAAAAAAAAAATTAAGGCACAACGTAACATATAACTCAAAAAGCAGAATAAAAGTAAAACAACAAACAAGAAATCATATCAAAAAAAATCCAAATGTAAAATTAAAACAACATATTAACCATTGCTCTCTTTATTCTAAGAGAAACCAGTGGAAGCAAAACAAAAATTAGGACAATTAATAGCTTTCAAATTAGCAATAGCAACTAACAACCCAGATAAATAATATGTAGTTACAAAGAGTTATTTAATGGACACATCTTCTTAAAGCCCATCATTACTAAAAATTATCAACTTCATTATCTTAGCGAGCCATCAAAGAGAAACAAACATCCTGTACGATTCTTTAACTACAAGAATATCTTGCACAATTCTAAAATATTTTTAATCATAACTAAAATTGAGTTATCTGATGACATTTGAAAGAGCATCTCCCACTCCATTTTTTCATAAGACCATCTGACCAGAATAATGATGAACCACTCTCAAACCTTCGCATAACAACTTAGCATTCAGCCATGAGAGTAGAATTAGCAACAATA